TTTTGATTTAATCATATGTAGATTTAAAAAATAGATTAAAAGTTAATTTGGAATAAGTAAAAATGGCAAATAAAAATGTTCATGTGTGAGAAGTATTTGTGTTAATAAACGAATTTGTTTTGATAAATCTAATAATTGATTATAACGACAAGATTGTTTCACTGGAAATGTATTTATTTCATATGTATATAAAATTTTCATATAGATTTCTTCCATAGAATCTAAAGTAGTATCATTTAATTGATCTTAAATTAAAATTAAATATATAAATTTTTTTATTTTATTTTCCATTTATTTTATTTACCTGATTGAAAAATAAGTAAAATATTTAATAGAAAAAATTCTATATTTGTAATATTCGAATTAAAAAATATCTTTAAAATATGCATAAGTTGATCAAGTAATTGCGATGTTAAAGATAATAAAATATCATTTTGTGTATAAGAAAATAAACGTTGAAAATATTTCTCATATGAAAGAAAATATCGATCATTATAATTTACTTTTAAAAAATAAAAAATAACTAAAATTATATAACTTGACCAACAATTATTAAGAATAAATTGATTTAAATCAAGATTTATTATTGAATAGAATGGTAATGAACGATACCAATTAATAAATGTATCAATTAATAAACAAGAAATCTTTCTTATAGATTCCTTCGTTAAACAATTCTTATTATTTACTAATGATTGTAAATGATTAAATAACACATCTAATGTACAGGTTTGATTGAAATCATAAAATGAATTTATATCAAATAATTTACTAAATGCAACATTTGAATTATTATTCATTTGTTCAGTTGTTTGAGTTTTGTACTAGAAAAAAAAATTTCTTTTAGGTCATACTGACTGTTCTACTTGTGTTATTAATAGATTTTTACTCATCAGTCGGAAAAAATTTGAATATTATATCTCACATATTTTTCGCTAATATAAATACAGAACGGATAAATCAAACTATGCTTTACTAAACAGAGACTTCGGAATACTTTATAAAAAATAAATACTTTGTATGATTGTGCTATATCCGCAAAGGTTCGATTACATCTAACCGTTGAAATAGTCATGCCTTTTGAAAGACATTTTTCATAACGGCAATATTGACAAAAATTACGTTGAGATTTATCAATAATACATAAACCATTTTTATTACAACGATATTTTTTATTATTTTGTACTGTTCGTCGAAAAAAGCCTATACAGATAAAAATTTTCTTTATTTTATAATATAAATAGTTATCGAATACCTTTACAACCTTCGCAAGTACGCAGACCATAATGAAAACCTATTGCTGTGCCATTGCAAACACTACATGATTTTTTATGATTATGAATCAATGAAATGGTATTATCATTATTATTCTAAAGAATAATTCGAATATACGAATAAGAAAATCTCATGTTTTTTTTTCATAATTTACTTTGGAAAATTGAATATCTTTGAAAAAAGTATTTGGTTGTTGAACATCATCGATATTTGTTGGTGAATTTGCATTAGAATTCGATGTATTAATCTGAGTATCAGATTCGTATTTTAGTTGTATTGTGCGATCATATTTAAGTTTAAATTTCTTAAATAAATCATCGTCAGGGGATGAAGAGATGTTTGCCATGTAGAGGTAAAGATGAAAGTAAACTTAATTTTCCACTTTTCTGTCTATTCTAAAAACTATGTTGTAAGGTGTTGCCGTCTCAATGCGCAATATAAATATAATATTTATTTATAGTAAGTGCATGTCATAAAGGAAGACAAAAAAAACAGCATACTACGGATGTCACAACGAAATTATATCTTCTATAACATGATAATTAATGCATGGTCTTGAGTTGTCGGCTTTTCTTAATGAAAATATTAGATATACACTACTATTTTGGGAGAAATTATGGACTTTTTAAGTTAAAAAGGATTATTATATTACTACATAGAAGTTCATAATTATTATGTAGTACAGACACTACAAACAAATTTATTAGGATATGTTGAAGTAATGTTTAATTATTGCAAAATTTCTTTTATAATATAATTAATGAATTTTACAATGCATACTCTCTTCTTATTATATTAAACGATGAAATATGTAATGTTCTTAAATTTAGTTCATTGTGATCTACTCCTGAAGAATATATAAATATCCCGGTTGAAGACTACAATAATGCAATTCTTTTCTGCTTCAACAAAACTATTAATTATGGTTCTTTAGCTTTTCATCTATTTCTCATTTAAATATACTTAATGAGTTTCTTTTCATTTAAGTTATCTTATACTAAAAATAGATTGCTATACAAAAGAATATTTCTGTTAATAAGGCTTCTATTTTGTTTTGAACGTAAAAACAATATTCTTATGATGATATTACTCATGAAATGAATAAAAAAATTTGCTTTAAATTTATTGATCTGATCTTTTCAAAGTATTTTTAATAATTCGAAATAAATATAGTTAGTGGTAACATATTCATCGTTTGCACTATTTATGGTAAATAAAAATGTTATATTCATGATGAATTTGGATGATTAAAGGATGAGGCAAAAGTCTTGATACTTCATAGAAAACTTTTATTTTCTCTTTTATGACAAAAATCAATCGGTACTAGATAAGTATCACTCTGAAATTTTACAACTATAGCTCGAGTTATAGTAAAGATAACGTTTTATTATTTATCATAGAACAAAAATGGAATTTTTCTATGAAGTAACAAGATTTTTGATTCATTCTTTATTAATAAATTGATTCGAGCAATGCATTTTTATCATCTTCGATTTAAACTATTTTCAGAATGTAAGAGGATTTTGTTGAATAAAAACTTTATTTCATATAAACATCATTGTTATAATATGAACGTATTCTAATGCAGTTTTTCTATTTTTATTGTCATTTGAAATATCATCACTAAAAAATAAACTTTTCTAGACTTAGCCAAATCTCCGATATCGTTCCTATAAACCGGTCTAGTATTGCGATATAATTAACACATATCATCATATTCTGACTTATGCATAAAAAGTCTTTACGCTACGTATATAATCAGAATTGTTTTCTTACGTAAAATCCACTCGTTGAGAGCAAGTTTTTGAAGGTGAACAAAATTCTAATTAATATATTTGTTCATTTCTCAGACATTTAAATCTGGCTATTATAGATTAGAGCTAGTCTATTAAATTGATAATTTCATATTCTTTCTAAATATGGTTTTAAAACTTCACTCTAATGTATTATGGTTGTGGTAAATCCAATATTCTACGGAATGACGACTTACAATAAAAATGAATTTTAATATTCAGAAAGCCAAGAGAAGAATACTTTTTTTTGTAACTTCAATCGAGACCATCCGCACGTTGGTTTTGTTCGCATTCAAAAACTTATTTGAAACAAATCGTTATATTCTCATTCTAGACTAACTTTGTTTCATTATCTCATCTTATCTACAACTGGGTGAGAATTATTCTGAATTTTTTTGATTATAAAATTAATTTATTTCTGTGAAATGAAGACCAAATGAACATTTTCAAAAATAATCAAATGTAAAATGTTATTTTATATATTCATGACTCTATCTTGTTGTTGTATTAAATTGCATAAAATATGCAGCTGTTGGTTGATTTGTATAAACAACACTATCAAGATATTTTTTAAGATTACGTTGTTCATTTGCCAAACGTTGATTATCATCATAAAGATCATGTTCATAAACGCGACGTTCACCTTCAATTTGTTTTTCAATAATCATACCAGCTTTAGCTTCAGCATGACGTCGTCGATCCCATTCATCATTACGTTGTTGTTCTTCTTCGTCACGACGCTAAACAAAAAAAAAAGAAAACAAATACTTTTACTCTAAAAACAAAACAAAATCGAAAAATTTACTTTTTTCTCTTCAACTTGACGTTGTTGTTCTTCACGTATTTGACGTATTTGATCTTCACTCATACCTTTCCATCGATCAGGTACAACACGATGTGGTCCATATTGACTTATAGCTTGATCAGGATTTTCTGTTAATAAATCACATGATATCATATTTGCCATTTCAGCATAATTATCATGATCTGTTTGTCGTTTTTTCAATGCTTGACGTTCTTGAGTTTCTCGAAACTAGAAAGATACGATATTGAATGAATTTCAAACTACGCAATATTATTGATGCGTTAATAATTTTTGTTTGTATTAGAGAACGTGTTAATTATCATTATAGTCGACAGTAAATAGAAATAGTATATCATTTTCTTTGTTTTAATCTGAAAGTCATACGCTTATGATCATACTACGGTAAGTTTACATGATATTTTTAGTCTTATAGTTGAAATTAATATAAATATTAGAAATGTCATCTTCTTAGCCATATATAAACTATTTTTCAATATCTATTCGTATGAAATTCGAATTTTTTTTCATCAATTCAGACAACAAATCTCATAATGATAAAATATGTGATTAGACCTAAGAAACGGCGAATTTATTTATTCTTAGTTTGAAACCTTACGATGATGAGTATAATGTCTAGATATCATTCATCAAATACAATCAAAATATCAGCCTTCATCAAAAATAGACATAAAACATTAACTCTTAACGACCGACCGTCTTTTCAGAGCACAACTAATAATTGCTCTAAAATATTATAAATCAATCCAAATAGTTTTTCAAGCTGAGACAGCCATATAGACTATTCACAAAGAATAATTCATCTTAAACTAAATTTCGTAATGTATTTTGTAAGTGACAGTCGATCGTAAAAGGTTGAATTAGAAGTTTATCTTTAGAAGAGATTCTACTTTTTCTTTCTTCTTCTTCTTCTATAACATTAGTCACATTAAAAAACCATACTTTAATAATCAACAAGCAAAGACACCACATGATACTACTTAGAATAAAATGCATGCAATACGATAATAGATGTAAGTTATTCACAGTTTCTCCTCTTAAAAACAGTTGAATTTGCTTATTACTATTTGTTAACGTATCATTCTTCATCGGAGTATCTTCTTTTTATCATCACTTGCATACGTTGCATTTTAATTATCGAAATTCCTTGTTATATGCTCAATAGGTACCTTTTTTAAGTTACAATCTAATAAGAAAGACCTTCTCCGAAAAAAATTGGGTATTATTCATTATTGTCAAACTGACATTTACGTTCAAATATCTATCATTGAGAAATTGATAAAAGTCATGAAAATAGCTCAGACTGTGCAGGATATGTGAAACTACAATTATTTTTTAATTATTGCTTTAAGTATTTGCTTCTAATGTTGACGAGAATACTAATATCCTGACATAGAGAATCATTTTCTTCGAGCTACTAATTCATTCCGTGTTACGAACAGACAGATTTAATTAATGTATTAAACTATCAAAAACAGAAATATCCATATTTTTTTTTACTTAATAAAACAAAGTGAATGTACTCAGATATTTCGAATTTATCTTTAATTCAATTCTTATAATATATCATAACCTTACTAGTGCATTATTATAATTTTTAATTGATTCATTAATAGCTCGATGACATTCTTCTTCAGCACGTTGAAGCTCAAGTCCACGTTGATCTAATTCATTTTGTTTAGCATGAAATAATTTATCTGCTGCTTGTTGTTGTTGTTCTGCACGTCTTTGAGCTTCTTGTTGCATACGTGACCATTCACGTAATTGTTCTTTTTGATATTTCGCTCGTGCACGTGAATTCTGATCTTCACCTTCGAATTTCTGTAAACTAGCTACACCACAACGTGGATCATCATCAGATACACGTGCTGGCATATCTTTTTTTAAATAATCTGGATCATTTAAATCCCATTCTCCTATTATAAATAAAATGTTGAATTTTTAATTAGAATATTTTCATACAAAAATACTTTGTCCAGATGGTTGTTGATGTAAAGCACGGAATTCATTTAATGAACGATTATATTCTCGCTCGTCATTTTCTTGACGATGTTGAAGTAATTGAGCAATTTTATCATTTCGAATAGCATCTTGAGCTAAGAAAATTATAAATTTTATAGCTGAAAAGAAAATAAAGTTTTAAGATTACCAAATGCATTTGCACGTTTTTGTTCGAGATCTTCCAACCAATTTCGTTCTTGAACTTGTTGTTCAAGTGCTTCTTTATCGACCTATATTAACAGAAAAAAATATTTATTAATAATTTCAATATATATTTATAGTAACGAACGCCTATTTGTCGATATTTAGAATTGAATACTCGACCTTGACGTTCTTCTTCAGCTCGACGACGACGTTCAATCGCTGCTTTTTCTTTCAAACTGAGTGGAATATCGAGTTTATACATATTCAAGTGTCTTAAACTTTATCTATTCCACAAAAATTTACAAGAAAAAAAAACTACTAATAATTTCTACCATTGACACTATATATTGTCATGACAATCATTAAAAAATAAGGGTGTACCATATCATACGACTAGCGACCTCTGTTAACATTTTCATATTGTACAAGTATTATGAGAACTTATAAAATTCTCGCGGAAAAAAGAAGATGATCACACTTATTCACATTTCCTTCAATATAATGAATTAATCTTGAGAATTTTCATATTCTATGACGTTTATCAAAAACTCATATAATATAAATCGATTCAAGTTAAGAAGAACATTATATTGCCTGATGTTTCTATTCATCTTATAAAAATAAGCATTAACATTCCAGTAATGGTACCAGATAAAAATAAATCAGAATGTCAATTCTATATTTCTCATTAATCATTTCTTCTATCATAGATTATAATAACAAATAACTCAAACAATAGTTCGTGTTGACCAAAATTAATCATCTTCTTTAATATGAGGTTAATGGTTCTTTTGATCTGTTGTTCAGTGACAGGTAGGTTTTTCTTTAACTAACATCTTCATTTGTTTGTTCTATGAATTAATTGATGATATATAGGAATTATATGTGAAATGGAAATGAATTTAACTCGTACTTTATTAAATGCAATTGTTTATGATAAATCAGTTCGACCAGCTTTACATCATCTTGATGTAACAAATGTTTCATTTGATTTATCACTTGCTCAATTAATTGATGTCGATGAAAAAAATCAAATTATTACAACAAATCAATGGTTAACTATGGTTAGAAATTTCTATCTAAATTTTGTCTTTCTGAAAAATTATTTTAAATAGAAATGGCCTGATCCAAAATTAAAATGGAATCCAGCTCATTGGGATAATGTTAAATTACTTCATATTAAATATGATAAAGTTTGGTTGCCTGATATTGTTTTATATAATGTAGTGACAAAAAAAGTGTTGTAAACCATGAATATTTCGAAAATATACTATTATTTTAGAATGCCGACAATCTTGCTTCATTAAGTCAAATATCGACAAATGTTATGGTCTCTTCTGAAGGTATTGTTACATGGTTATCTACAGGTATATTTCGAAGTTCATGTTCAATTGATGTTCGTTATTTTCCTTTTGGTAAAGAAAGATTTTTTTTTGATGTATTTGAATGAAGAAATATTTTTATGAAATAGATGAACAAAATTGTACTTTGAAATTTGCCTCATGGACTTATGATAGTGCTCGAATTGAACTATCAGCAAATTCATTGACTGGTGATTTAAGTAATTTTATGGAAAATTCAGGTAGATGAGAAGTTTATTTTGTCTTTTTTATTTCGAAAATTTTATTTTCAGAATGGGAAATTGTTCGATTACATGTAAAGAAAAATGTTGTTAAATATTCATGTTGTAAGTTATATAAACTATTTAATAAGTATCGAATAAATATATATATTATCTAGGCCCAGAAACTTTTCCGGACTTAACATATACAATACAAATGCGTCGTCGTCCATTATTTTATGTATTTAATATGATACTTCCATGTTTTCTTATAACAACTGTAGCTTTTCTTGGTTTTTGTGTTCCATCCGATAGTGGTTTGTTTAAATTATGTTTTTTTCGTTGATTAATATAACTATATTTTTATTCTTATATTTAATTAGGAGAAAAAGTTTCAATTGGTGTAACAACACTTCTTTCAATGACAGTTTTTCTTATGCTTGTTGCTGATAGTATGCCACCAAATTCTGATTCATTGCCATTGATTGGTATGTTATTAGTAATGATTAGAATTTTAGTATATAAATATCATTGGATAAGCTAGAAGCAAGTTTAAGAATTGACTAAAAACGATTTTAATTCATTTTAAGATCGACTATAAGTGTTATACTATAACAGAAATGAGTTTGAGATTTCTTAAAATAACATAGGCAGTTGATTTTTCAATCGTAAGCTTCAGTTTCTTACTGAATCAATGTCGCATTCATATTCTAAGTGACCTACTTTGATGATTTGACAAGTCATAAATTAGAATATGACATTCATCTCGAGACTAATCCAAGTTTCAGGAAAAATCTTTTTCTCAATCCGACATTGGACATAATAATTATTTTTATGAATTATGTTTGAAATATTCTTCTTTGGAAATTCCACTGATTATTAGTGTAGGAAAAGTTATTGATGAGAGAAAATTCGAAACTAAATGTGATATAAGGGTGTGTGCGTGGGTAAGAATGATAGAGAAGAAGAGACATCCATAGCACCACAACCTCGCTCTCATCATCACCTACATCCACACCCTTGTATCATATTTAGTGTCAACAGTTTCAATAAACCCTATTTTTTACGGACTTTCATTTGGTATAAAATTCATCACTAATCATATTTGGAAGTATGGCAATAATATACATAGTATTATTGTTGTGAATAAAAAATTGAATAAATTTCTTTTATTATTAGGTGTGTATTATTTTTCTGCAATTATAATTGTAAGTATTGCAACAGCTATGTCAGTTGCTTCACTTAATGTATATCATCATGGTAAACATTATCTTCAACCTGTACCAAAATGGATATCTCGTATATTTTTTTTCATTATTCCTAAACTTCTTTTAATGAATATTGATGTTCCTACACAACCGTCTCTAAGACGACGAAATCCTTTAGTAAATAGAAAAAAAATTCTTTTTTTCCTGTGAACTAAAAATTTCTTTTCTAGAAATCACAAATAACAGTACATAAAACACGAATGAAATATAATTATACAAATGAAATCAAATCATCACAAAATGGTTTAATACAATATGATGAAAATTCTAGTGAACATGAAAATATAACATTATTATCTACAGATAATAATCGTCGAATGTCAATACCACTTGTTCTTCGTTCCTATTCAACAAAACAGCATCAACAACAACAACAACAGCACGTACATAAATCTAATGAAACAAATGACAATTCACCATCAATCCATTATATGTATCGTCTTATTGAACAGAATGAACGTCGATGTAAACAACAAGAACATAATACAACAATTGCACAACAATGGCAGATCTTAGGACGAGTTATTGATCGTTTATTTATTGTTGTATTTTTAATTGGTACAATGCTTGTCTTCGGATTTATATTCTATCAAGCTCCACATTTACGATTAAAATAAAAATAAAACTATTCTTCATTCATATTTATTTCTATATGTTTCAGTAAAGTAAATTTAATTTAGTATATATAATTCAATGAGGCAAAAAAAAGATTATTAGATTTTTTTTATCTGACGTCAACGTTGTTCTAGATGTTTTTTTTTCGAATTAAAAAATTAGTTCAAAATGAATTAATATGTATATATTTAACTTTAAATCACATTCTAATTAAATTATTTATTTAAAATGTACACATGCACAAGTAGTTCTTTTTTTTGCTCGATAAAATGATATTTGAGTATTTTATTAATTAAAAGAAAAGCGTCTTTAGCTGTTCTTTTTACTTTTCTATAATTACATTATTATAATACACAATTGGTTTATTAGAGTAAACGACATCATAGAATTAATAAATATTCTAAGATATGACATGTGCCTACGTGTTTATCTAGAAGGATATGATCTATTACTGAAATTTAATCATATTACAGGATTCTTACTATATGAACTTTTCTTAAGATACAGTAGTAAAATTATAATTCTATCTGAAACATTTGTAATATAATCCTTGATTATACTTATCAAACTATTCATTAAGAAATCTAACATCGTAGTAAAACAAAAAGTTGTGAGTCTTTCTAAATATAAAGGATAAATGTAAAAAAAGAGCTTTTAATAGAAATATGATAATCCTATAATTATCTATAATAAAAAAATTTTTGAATACCTATTTATTCTGAATGAACTATAACAGGTTATTAAGTCACTTTTTTTCTTAGGAACGTTTTTTAATATTGATGAATTTAATCGCTAAGGTTGTTTTGCATTCATTATATTCACTATTAAAACCTTCCATATGTGAGAATGCTCTCAACTATTCATCTATGTGAATTCAAGATTAATTTTGTAGATTAATTCGTCACGTTTCTTTTACCCCTTTACTGTCTATATCACGTAAATGAAAAGATATATATATATATATAATGGGCTCTTAAACATGACAAAGACAGTCTAATGCGTTCTTGAATAATAGAAAAGGTATTAATATTCAATAGAATCATAAATATTCTTTTTTATATCTACAAAAGAAAAATATTATTTTATATTTGTTCTTTAATCATCATAGAAAACATTTATAAATATACATATACATATTAGAGTCTTATCAGATGATTTTCAGTTCTATTTATCTATTCCGGTAGATAAAAAAAACTAATTGTTTTTTTTTGTACTAGGTATCATCAAGCAAGGGTCAAAAGAATAATGTAGAATAGCATTCCTAGTTCTAATAATTTCTTTGATTTTAATCGAAACTAAAAAACCAAAAAACAAAATAGAACAACAATAATCTTCTCATTCGTGAGACTCTAATACGTATAAATACAATCAACAACAAAAAAAAAAAAAAGGAAAAGATATTTTCACAGATACATTTAAAAAATAAACATCACTTCTCATGCACCGGACATAAATAAGAAAAAAAAAACAAAAAAACAAATTTTAGTTATATAAATCCATCTGTTTCAATCGTTGATTCAGTTGATCTTTTTTGAATTTTTCGTTCAGACATATGTTCATTATTTGGACTACTATTTGAGCAATATGCTCCACTAAGTCTTGCTTGTTGTAAAAATGGACGATTTTCATAATGAGCAAATGCTTCACTTGTTGTACCAATAAGTGAATGTTTTGGTTTATAATGTCTATTTAAAAGTTTATCGATTTCACGACGAAATAATGATGATGATGCAAAACAAAAAACAAACGATGCAGCATAATATGTATTTATTAAACATTGATAAATATTTATTTGATTTAGTAATGATTTAAAATTTTCATCAGATTGCATACCACGTTGAGCATCAAATGCTACTGCAATAAAAACTTGTGCAGGAGCAACAAGTGATAAAAATCCAATATTCGATGCAAGTAACATTGTTGTTACACGTCTTGTACGACTTTTGGAACGAGATTTAAGATGTTCATTGTTTATTGGATTTAAAAAGGAATTTTTTATAATATATATATTAAAAATTGATGTAAATATACATGGCTAAATAAAGAAGAAAAAAAAATTTGTTAAAATATTCTCTAGTCAATTTTCTAATTAATAATAAATTTGAAACCTAATGTTGAAAAAAAGTACTTTTTCTTCATTAAATACAAATTAATAATTTATTAAGTTCACCGTAGGAGTATCTTTGCAGAGGTGAGGAAGAACTAATCTTAAATACTTACTACAATAATATACACGACAAGTTCTTGCCAAATACTAGTTTTTCCAAAAAAGTTTTGAATACCATTTCCACTATTTTTATCGAAAAAGCAAGCTAAAAATGTTGTATTATGCTCTGGTAGAGTAACTGTGTTGCCAGTAAATAATAGATAATGTAGATTTAATATAAAAAGAACAAGACCAGTAATAAGCATTGTAAATATAACTGTATAATCATCTTTTCTCTGTGTACGTCGAACTGTTTTTGATTGTTGAAAACGATCAAATGCAACTGCAACAAGTATCCATGATGCCATGCCACGTATCCATTGAGCAACAAATGTATTCATTCGACACCAACCAAAATCAAATAGACTACGTATATGAATATGATAACCTTGTGTTAACATAAGATTAAGTGTATTTGTTAATAAAACACCTATATTTAATAATGCACAAACAGCCATATATTGACATGTTGTATATTTACGTAATTTCGCTCGAAAAAGTGTTATTGCAGTTAAAAGATTTCCACATGTACCGGCCACTATAAGAAATAGAAAATAACCACGATAAATAATTCGATTAATTAATTGAACAGTTGCCCATTCTCCTGTTTGTGGTACGAACGAATCATTGAAGAATGTTGAACTATGAATATTAAAAATAAAAATAAGAGAATATTTAGTATATATACATACTTATTCATTGCTCAATTGGCAATCATATTAAAAAATAATATAGAACGAAAGCTAATGCCGTAGTATATATCTGAAAAGAAAAACATATGTAAAATGATATTTCTTTCCCACACGCCATCACTCTCATCTACGATATAAAAATGTTATTCTTGAAGCTAAATGACATTCTCATTTGAACATCGCATATAAGAGACAGATAGAAAGAAAGAAAACGAGTGTCGAAAATATGACTCTTCATTTTATCTAGCAAATCAATAGTGTAGTAAATTTAATCATATCTGTCATTATGTGATAATAGTCAAGAAAACTAAAGAAACTTATTAACGGTAGCATAACATGCAATGTGTCATATGAATATGTCAGAAGCGAAAGACAAAATGACAAAGATTTTTTCTTTTCTATATGCTTATCGTTCTTTTTTTCTTCTTCGTCTTCTTCTTCTTCTTCTTCTTTTTATCGTTCTATAATTATAAATCTAAGTATTACTATATATGATACGTATATCTGTAACTTTTCTTTCCGTGACATCTTCTTGTTTTATAAAATGCAAGTCACTCAAAGCTTAAGGGTTAGCTTTATGATAATCAGTATTCTCCATTTAAAGCAAATTTATCTAACTACCTAGATTTTTCTAATATAGAAACAGTAATTTTGCTTTAATTGTCAATTCACTTGGTAAGTCTTATAATGTTATACTGACATATCCATATATATATGTGCTTAGACGATTTCCTGTGTGTCAATACTTAAGTACATTTCTCCTTAAAGTGAAAAACTAAATTTTTTATAATTGCAGAAATTTCCAGAACAATCGAGTATTATCAGTAAAAGCTCTTTGTCCGTCTCGATCTCTACAATTTATCTGTGCAATTAGAAGAAAAAAATATTGCAAGAGTCATGTCTATTTATTGTTTAACATATGTTTATTAATTAAAATGAACAAAAAAAGAAATTTCTTAAATACATGTCTGTTGAACGTGATGTTTGGCAAATAATAAATCATCTTTACTTTTAAATAAATACAAGAATACCACAATCACAAGTTAACACTCGAAGACCTGTGATTTGAATAATCTTTTCTTAGACTTAAATTATGTACTCGATAAATATATCTGTCTGTCTATTAATCTGAAAACAAAACAGACTATTTTCACTTAATTCGATAATGGAAAATCTATTTTTCTAAAGATAATAAATTGATATTTTCAGACTCTTTATAACTTCTACCTCACTAAACATATTTATCATACAAGGATTTTCATCAATTTAATGATAGCTTTTAAAACTATTGTATATATATATTAAAGTAGAAACAGACGATGACTATAGACTAGAAAATTCTATATTATTTGAAATATTCTGTCTTCTATAAATAAATAATTTATCTGACAATCGTTCTAAAAGTCTGGAAGTCATAAATGCATAATATCATAGTTTATGATTTTGCTGGCAAACAATGCAATAGAATTTATCTTAAAATGCAAATTAAAGTGGGGAGAAAAATCGCACATCGACATGAGTCAAATGAAGTTCAGAAAAATACGAAATTAACATTTCCAGATAAAACAATCATGTCGAAGTGTTCTTCCTTCATAATATTAATATTCCGTACATGAACAACATATTAATATATATGAAAATGATGTCTGTTGTTTTATAACTATTTATTTATATAATGATTAACAAAAAAAAAGTGCGTTTACTTACTCAACCGGTCGTTTCATGACTAGTTCATATTTAGAATTCGGAAATAGTATCCGTTTTCTTTCTTCTTATTCAAACTAAATTGCATATAAAAGTGAAATCTATTTTAAAAAGAAAAAGAACTATTTCTGTCACATAAAAGAAAAGGAGTCAGCCGATAAGAAATAATTTTTCTATTAAGTTTATATGGCACAAAAAAAATTCATGCTGATTTTGAGAAAAAACAAGCATGTTATCTATTTAAAACAAAAATGAATGCAAGCACGTTTGTGCGTGTGTTAACCTCTGTTTACTAATGAATGACTGCTATATGCCTACGTAAAAATTTACCTTTTTTACTTAACAAAGTGCAATATTTTATTCATTATAGTAATTGAAAAAGAAAATATTTCAATTGAAAAATGATTTGACATACTTCAACTATTATAAGACATAAAAATCATTTAACTATTTACTGAAGTGGATGTTTTATAAAAATAAAAGAAACTCATTTTCTTTTTCCGTAATTTTTCTATAACCATACCTCACAATATAACTCTAATGGAATTACAGGAAAAAGAAATAAATGAATCTTTTATTCACGAATATATTTGACATAAATAGAACACATTTACAAAAAAATCATGATCGCTCTAGTTAATCAAAATCAATTTCGTACCTATTCATCTTGCCGAAGAATTAATATTCCATCGTCATATTAATTATTAATAATAAAAAAATATTTTCCGAATATTGATTGAATTTTTTAAGATTCTCAAAGATGATATTCATAAAAATAAGATCTAGAGAAATTTCTGACAATTAATCTACATGCAATTGTCAAAAATGCACTTCTATATATATATATCAAGATAATAAAACACGCATATAGTTGAAGAACTAAAGTGCAATGTTTTTAATAAAAAGAAAAAACGAAATAAGAATTTATAATATCCAAGAGGGTATATGTGCTTAAGTATTGTCATGTGTGAAAAATGAGTTCTCTACAGATATCATGATATCAAATATAATTAAAAAAAATAGACAGAAAAAAAAGGTAAATTGAATTATTAATTTAAATAAAAATATATAAAGATATTACTTGACTGTTTTTTTCCCTCTATGATATATTTACCACAGTAATATTTTAATAAACTTCGTGTTTAACTATATAGTCATATTTGAAATTGGATTCATTTACAATAAGAATAATTCTCTTCAAAATTAATATTCGAAAAATAGAATATATTTATTAGTGGTTACAGAGGATCTATAAAATCGAATTTACAGTGTGAATTAAGAATTGTTGTATAGTATACACTATGTTTTTTCTTTTATTATAAATTTTGAATAAATATTTAATATTTAATCAAAATCATATACAACTACATATATAACTTACCGACACTTCGTGACTCGTCTTCTTCTATAATTATTATCTGACATATATCACTCCTAAAGATCTATTTCCTTTTGCACAAGATACAGGTGCAGTAAGTACTTCTCTATTTGACATTGTATACATGAAAAAAAAGAAGTAAGACATAATTATTATAGCTAATCATATCATTCAGTATAAAAAAAGTTTACTTAGAAAATAAAGCAAAAATTAATTGAATTATATTAAATCAATAAAAAAACGAATCCGTGGATTTACTATGATATAAAAATTTTTACAATGTTACATACGATACTAAGTGTTAAAGTTTATTTAATGGCAATTAAAAAAGAACGCTTGAAATAAAATGAATTTTGTCTAGTTTTTGTACTAAAAATACTCAGAAGTGATAAGAGGTACATCAACCACTGTATTAAATCAGTTATAGTTCAAAAGATCTTATAAGTAAATACTATGTCAATTTAAATCTGCTTACCTCTACTTGATCTTTGTATGTATAATTTTTACCTAAGCTCATATTAAAACAAAAAACAAACTTCTCAAAAAGTAAAATAACACGTTTTGTTTTTTATTTCAAGAACACTATTGAAATGATTGTCATATTTTTTTCATTCTTGAAGTAGTATCAACAAGATGATTATAATATAAATTAAATAAATGTCGTCGGATGTAATTTACTATATTAAGCAGTACGCAATGAAAAGATTTTTACCGATAGCAAAAGAACTTTTTAAAAATATTAAATTAATATATGAATCGAAGCGTAAAATATAAACTTTTGAGATTGAATGGCGGCATATGACAAAAAAATTATATTTTGTTTTAATTTATTACAGTTGGTAAAATTTAAGTTTTTCTGACAACTCAACAGATTATATCATGCGCAGATACATCAATCAATTCAATAAGATTTCTAATATGATAGTGTATTTCAACAGTTACCGTTCAGTGTCAATTTAATGTTCTTCCATTTGCTTGACAAGTTTTCTCAAACAATCAGAGAAACAGATGTAAATATGCTCCATAATATGATAATCTTATACGCAATTATCAGCCTATAATTGTAGGATAATAGATATTTTTTTGAAAAAATAGCAACGAGTATATACGGTCCAAGATATGTGTTTACTAGGAATTTGTACTCACTTTCTTATGTGAAAAGCTTGATTTAAAATAAGAATTAATCTTTAATCTAATTTAATAATATTTTTAGTTTATATGACTGAGTATCAGTTACACATATAATTATCAGGATTCTATAAACATTTTCTTTTCTTTTTTTCGAAGTTAAATAGATAATACTGACAAAACAAGACGATTTTTTTATAAGCGAACTTAAAATAGACTTCGCAATTCTACTTTCATTAAATTCTTTTCAAAGTTACTGACGTATATTTAACAGCAGTTTTTTTTTCATTTTATTTTATTTAAATAAAAATGCTCCATTTTGCGAATATACATATTTATGTGATTTAATTTCCGTATTAAACTTATTAAGGAAATATGATATATCACGGGAGGGAAGTCTATTTATTTTTCATTTTAAATAATTTAATCAAGTAAACTTCCAGAATGGAAAAGTACTTGGGGGTCAAAAATATGAATATTATTAAACTCAAAATAATGATGTGATTATTATTGAAAATGTTCCTGAGCACTTAGATATTCGCTTTTAGCATATAATTATCTAGATAATTCTTATATTCACCGGAAAATTGCATTATACTCTAAGCCATTTTTATTTACATAAAATCATGACTTTTAAAATTTAATATTCTCATTCATTTTTACCATATAAACTAACATTATTAAATTTTGTAAATAATAATTACTAACCTGTGAATAGTTTGACAAATATTCGGTAACAATAAAATAATAGTAATCTCATGAGAAGTCAAAGCGATTTTATACGTTAAAGAGTAATGTTCTATATTTCCGGTACTTTCTATAGGCAAGCTGTGAGTTTTATATAAAAATCACATAAGATAAGGTGGCTATTAATATCTACGGAAAGGTTTCATCGACATTTGTTAACTTGAATATTCTATCTACGTCAATCTAATATTTTTTACACAGCATGATATTCCGATATGAGATTATACAATTTATTTTTAGCAACTCATGTTTTTTCCGGTGATAATTCATGGCTTTTTTTTGACCTGAATAAAAAGTAAGTTTTTTAGAAAAATCAATCATATAACTTTCCTGTTTATAAAATAACGAAAAACAAAAAGAAAAAAAAAAAAGGAAAATCTTTCGTTTATAATAACATCTGTAGATATAGAATCACTTTGATTATAACAAAAAAAAAATAACAAATCATGTTTCGGAAAACAAAACAAAGAACATCTGTTGTACGAGGTTTTCTTTTCGATATATAAACAAAATAAAACAAATTTATATTTTCTGACGTTTAACTGTTTTATCATTATGAATTGAATCAATAAGAGAATTTAATAAGATTTCAATTTCATAATTTATTAAATCCTCACGTTTTCGTTTATAATCTTCATTTAATGGACTTGTCAATGATGATGATAATGATGTTGAAGAATTACTTGTTTGAATATCAGCTAATAGAAAATCTGTTTGATCATTACAATACTGTATAATTGGAGAATGAATTTCTTCAGATCTAATATTTAATTAAGAAATAAAAATCAGAAGAAAAAAACCTAAACAAACTTTATACTCATGTTTAATGTTTGAATTAATTAGAATATGATTAGAATTTGTACGTTGTTTTCGATGACGAAATGCATGATCAATTAATTTTTCTTCACATGTTTGATCTAAACGCCAAAAACTTCCTTTACCAGATTCATTTTCTTTTCGAGCAAGACGAATAAAATAACGATTTAAACTAAGATTATGTCGAATAGAATTCTGCCAACCACGATTATTTGCTTCATAGTATGGATATTGAGCGGAAATGAAACTATATATTTGACTTAATGTCATTTGTTTATCAGGTGCAGATAGAATAGCTTGAACAATTAATTGAGCATATGAAAATGGAGGTTTAATACCATTTTTAGAATTATTATCGTGTTCTTGTTGACTATAATCGTTTCCATTCGATGGAATTCGTTGAATATTTGGTGAACTATAATTAAAAAAGAAAATAAATTATTTCTAACAAAATTGTTTTACTTTATTATTGGTTGGCTTTCATTGGGCTCAGTTTTTGGACTTGTTGAACAAGAGGAAATGGATGAACTAGATAAGCAAAAAGCTTTACTTATACTATCTTATTGTATAGAATGAAAATACACACACAAAAAAACTCAAATTTACCCTAGAAAAGAATGATTATTTCCTGATGAACTTTCATGTTGAAAGCTTCTCTGTTCAATATTACTACCAGCTGAAAATGATAATTCATTTGATAATGAATTTGATATATTAATACTTAATGGCGGAAGATTTTCTTCTTTAATTAATCCTTCAATTTGATGATTATCAGAAACAAGAATCACTTGTTGTTCAGTTTTGATACTTGGAACAGATTGAAGTGATACTAAAGGTGTTGTATCCATTGAAGATGATGATGATAAACGTTGTTGTATAGTATCACTTGATATTTGACTTGAAATACTTTCAGTCGATGGTCGACTAATGGAACTATTATTATTATTAGTATTAAGTAATGATGAAAATGAAATACATAAATCAGTACTTGGAAAACGAAAAGTACATCTAAAAAATAATAAATATTATTATTACATGAATAAATATATCTAAAAGTTATTATCATACTGTTTAGGTAAGACAGTTGTTGAAAACATTTTTGCATAGTTATTATTGATAAAGATTCCATTTTTACTGAGACATTTCAGATGAAATTCAATATTATTAACAAGTAATAATTCAAAATGTATACGAGAAACAACGGATGTTGAACCTAGAAATATAAATAAATATTATTCCTCATCGTTTTTATTCAACTACAATCGTTGGTTTATTGTATATCAGTGAAATACAATGATCCTATCGCTAACAACTAGAGTTTAATCCTTTCAATTTCATCGCTCAATCAATGAACGATCTCATCACAATTATCATTCGTATAGAACCGCATCCACAGTAGCTATACGTGTATTTTAGAAGCAACCTGCATGTCGGTACATACCCATATTAACATCGACTTCTCGCCTATTATTTTTTCTTCCAACAATTGTTCTTTCTTGCCAAATATCATAGGTTCCAAAATAAATTGAATCAAGACGAGCATATGGTAGGTTTATATGATCATTATCATTTGTATTTGTAACAATCGATGTTGTTGTTGTTAGAATTGTTGTTGTTGTTGTATTTGACATATTTGAATCATAATAAAAACGTTTAACAATTGGTAATTTTTGTTGTTGAATTTTTGATGATGGCGGTTCAACAAGTGATAATTGTTGATAAGTTATTGGTTGTATTGTTTGTACATGAGAACGTTGAGGAAATTTATTAATTATTGTTGTTGTATTAGCATGATCAAGTTGATAATATGTTATTGAATCATTTGTTGGTGAAGGTGGTGAACAAGGTTGAGGATATATAATATTATCAAATAAATATGGTAAATGATCAGACTGTTCACTTTTTAATGATGTTAAATATTGTTCATATAGAAATGGCGATTGAAAAGAAGAAGATATATCATATGGCGGTATTTGAGTATTTGTACTATTGCATGAACATATATCGGATACATTAGCACGTGAAGCAAATACAGGAGAATAAATATGTGGATGATAATTGTAAATTGGTGGTAGTGATGATAATGATGGTGGTGGTGGTGGTAAAGAATTGTTTTCTTCTCGTTCTCTTGTAGACTGTTCATCGATATAATCAGAGGAAGAAAAGAAGAAAAAAGAAGATGATGATGACGATGATGATGATGGTGGTGGAGGTGGTATGTCATAATCGCGTGTTAAAGATGACGGTGAGAATGTTGATGATGAACCACTACCAGTTGATGATGATGCTGTTGACATACAGCATGTTCTATCCCAAGACATGTTGATGTTTTATAGAAATAGATATATATCTATATGCCTAGAAAATATTTAAATTTATGAACTTTTGAAAAGTGACATATTTATGGAATTGAAACAAAAGAAGATTTGAATTAATAAACAAACGTAATGTATTGGTTATCTATTTTTGTGTCAGTTTTATCGATATATACTATATAACATAGTTGTCTTTTGTTCTCGATAATGTGTATATCTATTCATAGATGTCACCATAGATCAGATTTAAGAACTATATATAAAATCGATCCATTCTAGTAAATATAGCATTTAGTATCTTAGATCATAATCAGGTATTCTGATTTCAATGCAAAATTAAATTTGACATATACAATAAATATGATTAGGTATGTATTATAACCATACTTTTATTGAACTTCATAAGAAAAAAAGAAAAACGAAATGAGCAAAAATATACATTAAAAATATCTGACAAAGAAATTCTATCTGTTATTGTTTAAAAAAATAATTATCAATACCATTTGTTCGTGGAGGTGTTATAGTTAATTTTTTTCGTTGTCGTTTAGCTGGTGGTGTTGATTTCGCTTGTGTAGATTGATTACTAATAAAGAAGAAAGTGTATGAATGAAATATATATAATGAAAATATACCGTTTAATATGAGCTGTTTGAGGTGATGTTCGTTGATCTTCTTCTTTAATTGTTGTTCGAATCATTTCACCATTTAAACATAGATCAATATGTTTATTGATCTTATCATTATCACCTAAAAGCATTTTTTGACATACAGGACATAATGTTGTACTTGAAGTTGAATCTTCATCATCATCATCATTATTATTATTATGAATTAATTGTAAATTACAATCATCAGTATGTTGATTATCATCTAGTGATAATCCTTCACTATCATCTTCATCATCGATATCTTCGACAATATCATGAGCATTTTCACCGGTAGTATTACTTGTTGTAGATTGTTTAGAAAAAAATTGAAGTATTGGCAAATCGGAACTTTTCATTTTTAAATCAGCTACTCGAACACCTAAACATAAAGAAATACAGTAATAGATGATAAACAGATTAGTATCTCTTACCCATTAATCGTAATGCTGGTAATTCAAGATCTTGATCAAGTTCATTTTTAAGTAAAGCTACAGCTGTATCAGTAATTATATTCAATGAATCTGTATACGAAGAAAGTGTTTTTGAACGTGTTAAAATTTCAAAATTAACTGTTTTAATTTTTAATGTAACACGTTTACATAGAATTCGATCAGATATAAGTTCATCAACAGTTTCCTTTGCTAAATCTTGACAAATTGATATTAATTGTGATGAATCATTTGTACTTGTAAATGTTGTTTCATGTCCAATACTTTTTTGTATATCATCATGTTCAATAGTAGTTGAACCATAACCATTACAAACACGCATAAGAAAATCAAATGTTGTTGAATATTCAATTAATTTAAGAATACCACGTTTTAAATAAATATCATTAACAGTCTCAATTTGAAGTGATTCTAAATGAAGTGCAGTTACTTTTCCAATACCTTTTATCTAAAATGATATTGATAACAAAAATTTATAGTAGAAAATAAAAAATATTATTTCTATACTTTTCGTATTGGTAAATTTCGAATAAAATTTAAAATAACATTTACATTTGATTCTAATTGATATTGTCCATTAGGTTTATTAATATCTATTATAGTATTACAATAGAAAATAAGATAATTAACAAATCAAATTATTTTACCGGAACATAATTTTGCTAAACGCATATTACATGCAATACCAGCACTAGCTGTTAATCGTGTTGATAAATAAATTCGATGTCGAATTTCTTGAACAGTTTCTTCAGCTGTAATACCAAATGTTATTGTATCAGTTGAATTATCCTAAAAATTGAAAGTTTTTTTTATATGGAATAGAAAGAACGAACTAAATCTTCATATTTATATTAATACAATAAGAAGAATATAGAAAATTTACTTCTTTAGGAAATGTTCGCTGTTGTTCTGATGATACTGCTCGTATTTGTAAATGATTTGTTAAATCAGCAAATGCTTCATCAAGACCGCATGAACCATAATTATCATCATATTCACTAATAATTTTCCTATATAAAAATAATATGTATATGTCATGGTATTTAAAATTGAACTTGAATATAAAAATATTTAATATAAGGAAACTTTCTTCTATTCTCATAGTAAATACTCATAAACTATGTTGAAAACATCTAGATAAGATTTATTCATACATGACTTTTGAACTATCGATTCGATATTTCTTGAAATCACAAGGTACAATAACTAGATTCGGACAAAGTTGTCGTCCAATAAAACCAGGCATGGCCGCACGAACACCAAATTGACGAGCTAAATAATTGGATGTTGACTGAAATAAAAGTTGAATTATTTTTTAAAAATCAAATAAATCATAAACAATTACCAACATGCCCTCACCACCTACTGCCATGGGAACATGTTGAAGTGCTGGATTCTCTCGCATCTAATACATAAAAAGATCCAAATTCCTTTTTGCTTTTATAACTATTGTTTTTCTATTTACCTCAACTGATGCATAAAAAGCATCCATATCAATATGACAAAATATTCGAGATAAATCTCGAGTTTTATCTAATTGACTTAAATATCTATCAGCCTTGAATAAAATAGAAAAACTTGAGATTAATAAACAAAAAACTAAATTTCATTTCTACTGATTTTTCTGCTTGTTCAATTTGAAACGGTGTAAATGATTTTATTTTGGATAATTTAACTTCAATTCGTCGACGATTATCCTACAAATAATGTTATAATCAAAATTGATTCTTTTCAAAATCTTACTTCTTCACGACGTTGTTGTTGTTTAAAAAATTTTGAATCTATTTTTATGAATTAAATCTATAGATTCATATTTATATATATTCTCTGTATTTTCCTTACTTTTTGATGCTTCTTGAATTAATTTATTAATTTTTTCTTTATCCAAATCTTCCATACCAGCTTTGGAATCATCAACATTCAGAAATGTTGTTCGACTCATATTTTTCTGAAAAAAATTATTCCATTTTATAATCATTCATTTATATATTTTCACTTTCTAGACATTTAAATTTAGGAGAATGATTCGATGATGTCAGTGTTATTTGAATATCAGTACTATTTTCATATATATCGAGATTATGAGGAACAATATGGTTTCTAATATGTGTCAATGTCATGAGTCTCTTTATTTAGCAATAACTAAATCAATATAATTGATAGTATTCGTAAAGAAATATTAATTTGATTGGATCTAATTTTTATCCTTATTTTTATAGAATGAATATGGTTTGATACCAATGATAATATGTAAAAAATACATAAATAACGAAAACATAAAGCTTTGATACAAGAAAGGCGTCATGCAACTGAAATCGAAGAATATCGATCACGTCTAATGATCGAAATAATATCTTCTGTATACAAAAAAAATTGAAAATTATGTTCAATTCAATTCAATTGTATAAGAAAACATGTAAACATTAACTGGATAGAGAAAGTACCCATTCACGTATCTTGGAACATACTTTATGGAGGTCGCTAAAGCACAATGAACTACATTATACATATATTGACTCAACAAAATGTGACAAACTACGCGAATATATCATAGATTAGTCAGGCACTACTCAGCTATTCGTTTTTTCAATACAAGTACAACTTTATTCAATTTTAGTAAAAAATTTATAATTTCAGTTTTTTTATTGATTAATACTTTCAGATCAGTTCTATCAACATCTGCTAGACTGTAGTAATCGATTGTGGAAATAAGAATTTATTTGTATCTGTTATCTATTTTTCTCTTATGAATATCATCGAAATGTTTACATTGTGATTTTTGAATGAATATTATTTACTGAATTATTCTTGGAAAATATATCAAAGGTATTTATGCACCGCTTCTTCCTCACATGCACAAATTTAACTTTATTTTTTCTTTATTAGAATTCCAATGGTGCTTGTGGGAAATACAATTGATTGAAAGGTTGGTTTTTTGTAAGGATAATCGATATAAATAAAAATCATGAAGAACTCTTCCAAAAATGATATTTATAAAGTGAACTCGATTTTGTTCATAATAAGTAAATGAAATTTACATTGTATAATAACAGGCGCAGATGAAGAATCGAATAGTTGTAATATTCTTGTTGCAAATGAACAAGATCATAAATACTATTCATCACTTATTTATCTTCACATTCCAAATCAACATCTTCAAAAAAACAGTCATAAAATACATAATCATCTTTGATTCTATTCTTTTCATATGTTTGTACGTTAAGAGTCCTTCTCTAGAAATCGATAAAATGATAAAAACATTTTAAACAGCTTTTATAACAAATATCCATTTCTCTTTTTCTATAAATCATTTGCATATATATTTCTTTGTTTTTTATATTGTCTTTTTTAGATTTCAGTTACACATATTATATTATCATCATATTCATTTCTCAATATTTGTGACAATAATTTACACAATTACAAAAATAAACTCATAAAAGATAAATATTCATCATTAGAAGATCATTTCTCGTTCTTTTTTCATAACATAAACTCTAGTTTCATTTATTATAAATGAGCCTATTGAATTATTGTTTTCTTCTAGACAAGTATTTTGCTGTTTTTTTAGAGAGAAAGAAATTCTTTTTCTAGAAACTACTGTTAGTAATAGTAACTAAACCAATATCATATGTTGATAATTTTATCTAGAATATTTTTTATTCTATGCAAGAATAATATTTTTCAGAAAATAATAGTCACATGAAAAATACAGACATAACATTGCTGAAAAGAGCATTCAAATAATAACTGAATATCTTATTTACCTTCGAAGAGTTGTGTGTAATGAATGAATTCCTATAGAAAAATGACCAAGTAAACATGAATCTGTTCCAGAGATGCTTTCTTTTACTTTCGTTAATCAAAGCAAAATCACATAACTGATAATGTTTTAAACTACAATTGAAGAAATATTACAATTTAAGATGTGATGAAAGGACAAAAGAAAAGAGTATTTGACGAGAATGAAAATCTTGACAGTGGGTGCGGGTTCGATTACTGTCATGATCACCATCACGCATACATTTCGAAGCAAACTCAGGATCATGTTTCGATGCTCTGAACCCTATTCAAACATTTTCGACCGAAATTAATCGCTCCAGAAGCCTCAAAACATTTGTGACGGGCCCGGAGTCTGTTGATTACCCCTTGTAAAAAAAAGTAGATGTTGGACTGACGGAGACGAAATGAAAAAAGTAATATTAAGATAAGAGTGTAACAACATCTTTGATGTTGGAGATTATATTAGTCGTCTTCTGTTACTTACGTGAGAGTAATAAGCAAACAGACACTAGCTTCAAACAATAGTGTGTTCTTTTTTGCATTTAAGTTTCATCTGAAACATAATATGCACACCAACCAAGTTTACAGTGAGCTTGCTACTGTAAATAATGAACCGCACAAATGGTGGCACCGCCGCTGGGTGAAAATAATCGGCATTTTCGTTATTGTTTTAATAATTTTTGCTGTTAGCCTTGCTCTGGTTTTAAACTTCGTTGTTTTTGCATCGAAGAAACCAGTAACTAGCACCACTGTCACAATATCAACATCATCAATATTATCAACAACAGCACCAC